GTGTTGCAGCATCTTGTCTTCTTAAAAATTAGGAAACAAAGTGCTGTAATGTCAAGTAATTTATATTTTTATTATGTTTTGCTGTAGTTCTATAGAAGTTCTTTCCCTTTGCTAATAAGATTGTGCATTGTAACTCCCAGTCTATGTTTGATGAATCTTGGTTTCTGAAAGGCTTCTTCAGACTTTGTTCAAGACATACCACTGCAGACGATCCTCCCAGCCTACAGCCACCATCATCTCCTTAAAAAAAAAAAAAAAAAAATTGTAACATTTCTTTTTCTTTTGGGGTTAAAAAAAGTATTTTCTAAATGAAATTGAAGCTGAATTGAATTAAACCCTTTTGAAGTGCAACAGAGGCATATTTTTCACTGCTACAGTATAATAAGTGGCTTTACTTTCCATATTACAACACTTTTTAGTTAGTCAGTTGAAAAAAAAAAATGGTTTTAACCCATTATATTACTGCCATGTTTACAGTGGCCATATTGCCATACATTGATCCTATTTGTTGCATAGGGTAATGTATTTTTACTTTGGCTACTATTTTGCCTAACTCTGGAATTAATCTTCAGTTATTTTGATTACAAATTAATTTTTTTGTGTGTTGTGTCTCAGATTTAGAATAATTACCAGTTTCACCAGAAAAAAAAAAAATCTTTTTAAACAATAACTGTGTTGTGAGGATGTTTTTGATCCAGCTACAGTGGTAGATTTCTTTCTCTCTAGGGTAAATATCTTACTTTATTTTTTCTGTCAGGTTGACACATAATAGATGCCGTCAATACATGTAACATTAGGAGTTGAAATCTGACAGATAAACTGGCTCAAAGAGCCCCAGCCTTCCGATTTTACACTTCAGAATCTGTTTACATGTCTAACAGACTAAAACCCCAAGTTTGAAATGTGTCACATAAAAAAAAGAAAAACTGTTTTCTAACTGGATTTCGATGTCAAGTGGTGTCACTTGAGTTAAGACTGAAGGCTACAAGTTAAAAAAATGAAAGAAAAATCAGACGCTGTGAAGGTATATAGAAATAAGCCTACCAAATCTCGGGGGCCTGATGAGCATATGTGGTTGAGTTTAGAAGCTGAAAACATGAGAAAATACCAGTATACCACAGGGCTGCAGTCATCCAGTTGATTTAAGAGTAATGAATGATTTTTATTCAACGGTTCTATGTAACCCTCCATATACTGTATCTCTGAGCTTTTGGTGTTCAGATTATTTAACCAGGTGAAACTATTGAGAACTAGTCGACCTGGACAAGAGGACATAGTAAAAGCAAACCAGACAAACAAAACATAATTCCCTTTCCATTCTTTAAACAATTTAACAGCTCAGCAAATATATATAGAATGTTATCATAGCCATATTAGCAGCATCCTCCTGATCATTATGTTGAAAAGTTTCTAACTAAAAATCTTTGAAATATAAATACAGTAGGAGGTATGGACACAAATTTTAGCAGTGGTATGCCCTCATACAACACAATGATCCAGATATTATCACAAAACCAGAAGCAAAATCTTGAATTGGAACAAGTCTAATCAGAGATCCTGTAGTCATGCTGGTTGTCAGCAGAATAGTTTTAAGTTCACTAGTAATAGTGAAGTAATATTTTATTAATTTGCCTTCTGAAAACTAGTTTCGATAAGACTTTTTTTTTTCACTTGGGAGTACAGGAAACACATTTGAAAAGAAAATATCTGAAATTAAACAAAGGAGCAGCAAACAAAGAGAATTAATAATCATCATTTATAGTTCATGGTCATTTTTCCTCATACTCAATCCAAGTACAGGTCTCTGGAAAGCAGATATGACAGACAGAATGACAGAACAAACACAGAACAGTTGAAATGGAGACTTATTTGAGCTATTCTCTGCAGGATTTTGGGGTTGCCCAGGCACACATCGCCCACTGTTTAGCATTACTTAGACAAAAAAAAAACAGACACACATGTTTATTTATTCTAATCTTTATCATCACTCATATTCCTGTTCATTTTTATTAATCTAAATTAGGATGGAGAAAAAAGGCAGTGATTCCTTTGAAAGAGATCCACACTAGATTCCACTGTCAGTGTCGTGTGGGTTTTTTTGGGAATGGATAGGCTATTACTGGTCCAGAATGATCTATCTCAGGTTGGCATTTGTATAAAAACTATATAGGAACACATGTAAAAACAAGGATATTTCAAATTATTATTCAACTGAGAGAAAAAGATGTCCTCATAAAATATTCTATGTCTAGCAACACCTATTAACACATATGTTTTTTAAATTTCTTATTTTATTCCAAAATGGTTGAGGAGCAGTTATATTTTGCATTATCTTTACAACAGGCTATAAAACACCACTTTGTCACAGTCCAGAAAGCACAAATAGATGTGGTTGTACTGTTTATAAACATAAGTACTGTAATAAGATAATTTTGCGTGCATGGCTCCCAGGTGATAATCATTTCCCAGATCCTCAGGAATCCAGCAGAAATGTCCTCCCTTTAATATCACAATACAGCATGGAAAATGAAGGCCTCCACTTTCTAACAGAACAGTTCCTTTAAATAAGTGTATTTAAAGAGAAATGCCCATCTGTCCCAATCTTTACACTGCAACAGCTCAGTGACATGAAAAAGTCTTTAAAAGACTTTTCAGAGAGTCCTTTGGCCTGAAAATCCAATTTTTTCCTTTACTCTCCCTTCTATAGTCAATGTTTAGCATATTTATGGTATGTATTAATTTATGTAGTGTGCCATTTTCTCGAGAATACAGAGTTTGTAATGCTGAATCTCCATCTGCAATGTGCATCTGTACTCTTCTGTTCCTAGAAACATGAAGAAAGGGAGGCAATATTCTGGCCCAAGAACAAGTCACATGTGGATTATCATTGTTGGTCGACACATAAGATATTAGGTAGTCCATTTTCCTATAAGTCTTTTTCTGGACAGTATTTCCTGTTTGTTTGAAGTTCTTAAGAGTAAAGAAATGTATATTTTTATCTTCAGTTTATTTTGTAGAGCACTGTCTTGTTAGAAAAAAAAATACTAACTATTGTTCATCTTCGGTATTATCCTGTACACATGTTTATGTCCTTATCAATCTTTTGGACAGACGCTGGTCTAGAAAAGACCAGATGTTCCTCAGTCACACGTAGTACTCTTTGTCCTTGTTCTTTTTATTCTTGCTGGAGGTTTTCGGGTTGTTGATGGGTTTCTCTTTGACTACTGTGCCATTGGATTGTGCTGAGTTGCTGATGTAATTGCGGCTCTCATCCACATGATACGATCCTTCGTCTCTGTTACGGTACTTGTACATGGCATAAAGTAGAATGAGGATACACAATGCGGCTGCTGCTACGATGCCAACAACCATCCCCGTTGTGCTGCTGGACTCGCCGAAGACCTCAGATGTGCCAGGGTAACCTTTTGGTCCGGATCCTGTGGGACTGGCTGCAGGTAAAACAAATACATATAGTTACCAAATATGCTTTAAGCTGTAAGCTTAAAAAATTCTATTATTGCTAACATATGTTAGGGCAGTACACAACTGTAAATTACTTATTTAAAATAATTGCATCCAGCACATTGATTATGACTATATAATACAGCAGAGATAATGCTTGAGATGCAATAGTACATTACATTGCAAAATGTTCACTATCCTTTACCATCATGAAAGTTATCAGAAAAAAACCCCAAGTTTTGATATATTATATGGAAATTACATGAGACACAAGTAATAGGCTACAATGAGCTGCAGGATAAAGGAAACAGTTTTCAACATTTTTACAAATAATGATGACATGCATTTTTATTTAGTTCTCAGGCCTGAACAAAATGTACACTCATCTTTTGCTACAATTACAACTCCCAAGATATTTGGGGTGTCTGCACCAGCTTTGCACATCTAGAGTGTTATTTTTTTTTGTCCATTTAGTCATTTTTACCACCTCGCCGGACCAATCCATAGTGCCAGGATGCTTTAAGTCTGCCTCTATCATTCCGGTCCGATTCTCTGTCTGAGTAGCTGGAAAGCCTTTGTAAGTTTGCTTTTTTGTTAAACTGTTAAATTTAGAATTATTTATCAGCACCAAAATGTGGAAAAATATTTTTCTTTTACCCGATTGTACTTAACTAATTCACAAATGTATCTGTGATCTCTTTTGTTTGCTTTATAATGTTATCATACAAAAAAGAAAAACTAAATTTATGCCAAATGCAATTAAGATGGCCCTGTCGACAGGTTACTTCCAAAGGTAATAGGTTGAACAAGACATGTCTACATACAAGTGATTGAGTACATATGCATGCCACACTCTTAATTTCTTAAAATTCGTAAACTCTTAAATTCTTAAAATGTTTCATTTTGAACAGGACAGAAATGAGGCTACTGTAAAGAGAGTAAAATTTACTCCATATAATACACTGAAATGTGTAGTTATGAGACAACATTTCAAAAACTGGTGTAAGGTGTGTAAGGTGCTCCTATAAGTAAGACATTGAAATTAGACAGTGAAATAAAGGCAACAGCGTTTGCTATAATGATGAGAATTACTCTCATAACTAATGCCATAGTCCATATTTTGTTTTATGTCATTATTAACCGAAGACCCACTAGAATCTCAGAAAAACAATTACTGAGCTTAGAGCATTGTTGATCCCCCTCCAAAAAAAGTCTAATAAAAAATGGCAACCCTATAAAAAGAATAAATAACTTAAATATGCCAAGATAATTAAATCACCTATATATTAATTTAGATAACTTGGATGCACAGTTAATTTAACCACAACAATGCTACCACAATATAGCTTGTAGGCAAATTGCAAAACACATAGTGAATAATACAGGTCATGTCTCCCCACACACAGACAGGCAGTAATTAACTCTTAGCCTAGGAGGAAACGATATTCTTAAAGTCACTGTTGAATGTAGATGTTGAGAGTCCAGAAGGCACCTTGTTCCTGTGAGCAAAGCTCAGCAAGCTTCCTCAAAACAACAAACTGAATTCTTAATTATTTAATTATAGCAGGAAGTTCTGCTCATGAGGACCCAAAAGGTACAATGAGGTTATGGAGAAAAAACAAATCAGGGATCTAAGAGAAAAAAAGGTTGGAAATGGATCAATAATGCATATCATTTGTAACTACTGCATTTGATGTACAAAGTTTATAGCACTTAATAAAGAAAGAGACACATATTGCAAGTCCAGCAGGTGGGAGCAGTAGGAGGTTATTTTAACTGATTACTTAGCCCAAATGCAACACGTGCTTAAGTAATCAAAGCTGTAGAAACAAATTTGTTACTATTTTAGATTTTCTTAATTACCAGAGGACTCCAGTTTTAGACCTGATAAGAATTGGTGAAAATGTATGACCAAGATCTGATTGGAGGAGTGTAGTAGGGTATTTATAACATTTTTTTGTTAAATACACAGTAGCAGATTGTTTTTTTCTTTTACTTTAACACTGCAGCAAAAATATGTGTATAACACAAATAGCTTTAGTCTTTCAGAGTATTTAGAAATTTGCACTGGATGTGATTTATACAAGTGTAAAGAGAAGACTGAAGGGCCTTTCCCTGAATACATACAGAACACCTCATTTAATCTTCAGCAAACCCCTTCAGTGCAGAAAGCTATTTTAGGAGTTGTTCTTTCTCTGCATGTTGTTTCAGAATTAAAAGACCATCTCAATTCGGGACCTAGAAACAATTTTGTGAGTTTTACCCTTGGTCTGCTTCAGTCTTTGTCGCCTTTAAATTTCGGACAGTATATCATTATCCTTTTTGGCTTTAATGAAATAAAACAGTATATTTGTTTTGTGTCTCTTATGGTCGGTGAGGTGAGTAAAACCCCATTCTACTGGGAGTACTTATTTTTTAAGCTTTAGAAACAGAATCTATTACATTAATTGCATGGTTTTTACCTAAAAAAAAACGGTATTATTTGTATTGATATGATTTTTTTTGCATGTCTCAATTTGATCTTTTTTCATTTAATCGGCTAATATTAAAAAATAACACTTCAACTCTTTTTAAATTTTAAAACAGAGCTATGTCTAGAAAAGAAATACTTTAATGACATATACTGCGCCTTTTAAAATAATGTATTATTCATCTCCTTTGATCTATTCAGATTATTTTTTGACAAGTAACATTTCTACTCTAAGATTGCAGTGTCTTCAGACCAAATCTACTTCACTACATCAAAAGAGAAAGATGTTGAAAACACATTTTGCTGGCATTTGATGTTGGTTGTAACCACTTTGTCTCATCTACTAACATCTCCTTTTCATGATTGAACAAAAATATGTTTATTCCTCTACTTATTACAAATTATTGCCAGTCACATTCCAAAGAAACATATAGTTTACAGAATAAGGATGTTAAAATATATGATTACTTTAAAAGTATAATTTTCATGAAAGAATAAGACAGTGGTTGCACTTAAGACTGACTCAGAGCAATTGATAGCTCCCTTTGTTGTTTTGTGACATATTTGTGTATCAAGAAAAAAAAAATTGAATCAACACCTTTCTCCTTGTTAGTGACGTTTTAATATTAAGCCACACATTCTTCCTCTAATTACCTTGACCAACATTCGATATCGTTTAAGCTTGCTTTTGTTCCTTTAAGAGTAGAAGTCTTCAAAAGTGCTAACTGTAAAGGGCAAAAGTCCTCTAAGCTGTCTTTAAAAAGACAAGAGGCCGCTACTCCTCATTGACATGTTTTCCACCATGTTTAGACCGATCAGCGGCCCAAGTATGCTTCTAGTGCCAGCAAACATTCAAGGACAAGCGCAGCGTTCCACCAGGGGATTGAGTGTGACTGAGCGTTGCAACAGATTAGCTTTGCCTGTGACAAGACCACTTATCCTTGCAGACAGGTGTGAAGAATGCCCTCGCCTTGTGGGCAAAAGCCACTGGTTGACTAGGCACATCCCCAGCAAGCCATCATTCAGGCATTAAATAGTGAGTTATTTTCATATTTGTTGTCTATTCTTTTAGAGTCAGAATAGTTTAAAGAGTACATAACAGATTGATGAAAAAAAGAGACCTCTGTCTGAAACTAGGAACCTTCGCTGGCTCCTCCAGTGAGGTAACTGAGGTAGAAGAGCTGAGAAGGCAGGCAGCCTCAACCTGCAATATCGGGGGCGAACCATGTGACAAAAGTCCCACAGAGTGCTGTTCTTTCTTGTGTGATCTGACACCTCCAGCGCTGGGCTTTGTTATTTCCTTCAGCCTGGATCTGTTGATTGGCTCCCCTTAGACTGCAGTCATACAAAGACTTTAAATCCTCATTCAGCTGACCAAAATTCTTTCTTTTATTATGGGAAAAAGTAAAAGAAATGTACCTGGATAAGGACTAGTCAACATTGACCATACATACGCACACACTTTATAAGAGAACCTTTAAGTTCAGTATATTGCATTTGCATTCATAAAACCTCATTAGGTCTCACTTAGTCTCAGTAGAGCATTTCACCCAGCCGCTTGATTGAATCTGCCACAGTACACTAGATCACCTGATGAACCTCATGATTCAGGCCATTTGTTAGCCATGAGCTCCAATCTCCCTTACATTGAGCTCAGGCAAAGTAATGTGTTTAACATCAGGCCTTCAAAAAAGCCACATAAGGACCTCAAGCAAATTGCATCTGCCTGTCTGTTCATTAGCACTCCATCACCTCAGAACGGAGGCACATAAACTGAGAAAGAAATAGCGCCTGAAACAAGTGTTTAAAATGATGGCTGCTCTCATACGCTCTACTCAAGCGTACCCAAGGGTAAAATTAGACATGGGGAAAATGACCTTAAAGTGGCGCCCGGCTTCTTGGCAGCATAGCAGGGGTGCGCTTTCAAAGCGATGGAGGTAAACTCATGAGGGTTAACTTTTGAAGGATTACACTTATGTTAAAACTGCCAAAATAACTTTGTCCTCTTCATCTCATCCCAGAGTGAGATTTAAATTGCACTGTTAGATTTAAGGCCATCATAAAATCCTCGCTGGTTTATTTACAAGGACAAAAGTTAACATTTCAAGCATTTCTTCACAAATCATTTGCTGGCATCAAGGATTTAACCTAAAGAGATGCATAAAAGGAAATGTAAAAGCAAAAAAAACAAAACAACATAAAAAACGGCAGCAGAATAAGAACAATAGGGCCATAAAACTGAACAACCAAAACACGTAAATGCTGAGATTGCTTTGGCTTCAAGTGTCCGACTGCCACAGGGTTTATTTGATAGCATCTTTTCTCCTAATTCTCCCAGGGTTCTTCAGCATGGGTACATACGCCTGCTAGGCAAAGATATTATGGAACATGTCATTTAAAAGCCTGTTGTGAATTTTAGTACTCTTTGCCTGACTTCTTTTTTGCCACATACACTCAAGAAAAGAAATAGGATCAGAGATTCCTCCCTGTCAAGTGGGATTTAAATAAATGGTTCTC